TCAAATTTTCTCAAAGTATGCTCCTTACACAATTTTAAATATCTAACTTGACTGTTTAGGAGGACAACGTCAAAAATTTACTTGCACATAATTCATAATACACCCACAAATCGCATAACCTAACCATATTGTATATATAAACTGTTCAAACATTGGGTAGGTGTATAATTTTTGCACCAGTTGGTGGATAAGTTTCGATCAAATTTTGATGACATTGAAATGGTTGGTTTTTTGTAATTAAAAACTTATTATTGATAGCACAGACCTATAAATATTTCCTCTATTATAAATTTTGTTTTTGAATATTGAAAATATTTAGACTAATTTTAAGATATTTATACCATGAACCTATATTATATTCACATAATTCTATTTTCTATGGTTTGGTTGATTTTGGCAAAAATGAACTCAAGCTAATTACCGAATTAAGACATTACTACTAATAATAAAAAATTTAATTATTATAATATGAGTTATAAATAACACAAACTTGCTTTACTTAAGAAATAAATATCGATCAAGGGTTCTGTTTCGTAATTTTGATTAAATTGTAATAATTCTGAAGTGTTTGCGTATTTTTCAAGCGGACTAAGTGACTTTATAACTATGCTTGATTATTGCACTGTTGATAAATTATTTTACATTCTACACAAAACGATGGCACTGAATATCTTTGATTTTGCGTCAATCACCTAACCGGTATGACTTTGTTTTATAAATCATACATTATTATTATTTATTCGTATAGCTAGGTTATATTGATTATTACCTACAACTACGCAGTAAATCTAAATTCTATCTTATATGTTTATATCTAATAATATACAGAGTTGTCCATTTATCTAACGTAAGAATTTATGATACTCGATCTTAATTTTAAAAAAACTTTGAACGAAAATATTACTTAAATATATAAGCCTACTACATGTCTGAAATTTGATTTTTATAAAAATCTGAATTTTGGATCAGTCATAGGTATTCAAAGACGAACATTATGCGGGGTACCTACTCCTGTTCCGTTCCACTTTGAAATACTTAAAAATATGTAAAACTAACAAAAACGTTAGTGTTATATAGATTGTCTCGTAGACTGCTGCTATTTTAAATACTCGATGTTGTTATAATACACATTAAACAAACGTTATTTATTATTCGATCACATTATGGATTTTCTGTCAAAGTGATCCAGTGTAAAACGAGTATAAGCATTGCATTTAATTAATACAACTAAAATTAAATATATACATAAACAAACAATAATAGATATTATATATCAATATATGATATATAATACCATACACATATATGTATATGTTGTATATTATGGTGAAAGCGATCTTGATTAACAATTTGGACTACGGTGCATAGAACACAACTGCAGCAGCATTTCTGCCTCGGTCGAGCAGCATAATAGATAGTCTAATATTCTTCTACAGCGTGTCCATTAATATTAAACACTTGTAACATGATTATATGATATTTCTTCAATACGCATTCGTTAGATAGATCGTAGCGGTATTAATAATTTGTAAAGATGGAAATCGGGACACCGTCGTGGTTAGCTGCACGAAAAGAGATTGATTGTGCGGTGAAACCATGCCTAAATGCTGCACCTAAATATATTTAAATATTATAAATGCACGTATGCATCGAGAAATTTATTATTTATAAATAATAAATCTATGTAATTGTACAAACGAATGTTTGCACGTTCTATACGCGCAGCCTTCAGTACCAGTATTTAATATATTGATGTGCATCCGTCACATAAGTGCATTCCTCGTTGTAAAGGTCAGTTGAACTTCGATTTGACAGTAGCTGGAAATTTATTCAAAGTTCAGTAGTGACTGCCTTACTTACTGGATGTTGTTACAATAAAATCATCATAATAACGGAGGAGAACATTATAACTCGTACAATTTATTTTTAACTTTTTAATTTAACTTGTTAGTTAATTTTCTAACTGATTTCAAAATTTAACTACCTAGTTTAATCGACTAGTGAAATAACTTCGTTCTTATCGGCGTACTTAAAAACAATTCCATTAAGTTATTAAGTTAATTCTATTAAGATAAGAAATGTTTTTGAAATTTTTGTTTTTAATGGTTTTATATGTGAATTACTGTATACGCAAATAAAATAAAAACAATATTACATTTTAATACCTAATAGTAAAAAATATATATTAAGATCTAGCCATTTTCGTTAATAACATTATATTATGTATAATGTATGAAAATAGACTAGAAATAATATTTGTGACCCACGTACTAATTAAAAATGTAAATTAACATTTTTTTAACTGAATTAAGTTATACTTATTACTTTGTAGGTGGGTTGAAAAAAACGGTAAACACAATAATAATAAATATATGAATACTAAACGATTCTTGTGATAATATTTTCATCAATTCCCAATGAAATTAAATATTGACAACCGTGTACGAGCGTGTCGTTCGATGTATCAAATATTATACACGTTCGTAAAATAATTTATTATTCTCAGTGAACAAAATTCGATACTACCTACACAACGGCGAATGATGAGCCAAATTATAATAAATGATTTTATTTACCTATCACGGATCGATAACAATTAATAATCGTCTGTGTATACGATGCACGTTCACTGAATTATTTATGCACAACATCGTGGTTATATTTATCACGAATTCACCACATTTATGTTATCCCCGAGTATAATAATAATAGAAGTTTGTGAGATATGTGCCGAACATAGGACAGTGCAGTATTTAAAGGACGGCAAAATACTTAAGTAAAATTATAAAGTTTAAGAAAGTTTAACTTAAAAAAAAACAAGCATAATTAGATTTAATATTTTCGTGATTTGTAGTTATAGGAACAAATCTTGTAAACTATCTTATTAGTTATTACTATAAGTTATTAATTATTGTTGTGAAAAAAGATCCCCACACACTGTAGCGGTAGCGGCAAAATGAGTCAGGACACAATTTACCGCCACCGCTAAGACAAAAAAATTTTACAGCTACCGCTGCAGCGTGTAGGGACCTTAACGATCAAAATATTGTGAGAAAACTTCTCGAATCAGCCAATGTTGTCATCGTACAGTGTATGGAAAAAATATAAATGCACTGGTTACAGGAATTAAATTCTTGTAACGGTGGCATTTTTCTTTAAGAATTACAGTTTATTTTACTAAATATAGACAAGTAAATTTGTATAGCCATTTATAATTTACCTATATTATTTCATTTGTGATGTTGTGACAATATCGACTTATAGAATGTTGGTTTATCAATATGTGATAACTAACGATCAAAATATTTTAAGACTTGAAAATCTGAAAATATCAGAAATATTAATTTATTTTGATTTTCTTTCTATTCAGTTGCTCCCGTCGAATAATAGAGGGGTATGGCCGAAAATAGAATGATTTCTCTAGACGGTTCTTAAAAGCACAGTATGATGAACCGTAAAATCTACACGTTACAGTGACCCGCTACGTTCGGCCATGGTTGTGGCCTGAGGATGCCACATCCGTTACGGCAAACGTATTCAACACAAATTTGAGTCCTGCAAAACCCATCACAACGGTCGTTTTGAAAAGAAACGTTACAAATAAAGAGCAAATGTACAAGCACAGAGACTTTGGGAGTGGTGTCCTCTTGAAATACAATAAGTACTAACAATATGATTATAAGTATTTGTATTTATAATGAATGGTAGTATATATCAATATCTTTAATGGACAATGTACAATTATTATTATATTATATTCATATGTAAAAACCATTATAATGTACATATATTATAAATCATAACATAAAGGCACACATTTGACATTTACAAAATAATTAACAACAATAATAGAACGACCTTTGTTTGAAGTTTTACAATAAAAAAAAGTACACCGTGCACATTTCTACTCTGCCGTAGTTTTGGCAGTACGTTGATTAATCGGCCAGGATATATTTTATTTACCTATTATACAGAAATGTGTAATATGGGTACAATCAGGGCTTGGACACGGGGGCTACAGGTGATGGATGTACATTGCGCAATAAGTAACTTATAAGCATAATAAACGATTACTCTTCTATAATATATTTTGCCTCGTTAACTTTTAACTTAGAGCGTTAAATTTGTTATTTGATAACTATTAACTTCTAAATTAACGATTTTGTGTTAACTCAAATTAATTCGAGTTAATTGTCCACTTTTGATTATTAATAATGTTCTTTCAATTCCAAGATGTGCTCATGTAATAGGACATAATGCAATCCTTATGATAATATCATAAGATACTAGAGTAATATATTTTCTGGTTGATCTTCTCAAATATCGACTTGGGAAAAGTAACGACACGGGAAAAAAAGTAAAAATCTTAGACGTTAGAAAATGCCTCCATACCAACCAAGGATTAGATACTGAAATGAAACTATCGAATAGGGCCTATAGAATTATCAACATGTAAATGACTCGCGTACGATTAATTTTAACAATATTTTACGAGTATAAAGGAACCGAAAAGGAGAACAAAATGAATTTTCTACACACCTCCTCAATTATTTGCGCTTTCACATATTATGTCGCAAATCAAAATGCGGTCCCGGCGTTGCCGATATTGTTAGGTTAATATTATTATCATTACACATAACAAGATTGTTATTGAACATACAATTAGTTTTATTCAAATAAAAATAGTACGGAGGTAAAAAATGAATAGCAATTTAACAGGTAAACTAAATAAATTATATAAGAATGGAGTCTTCCGCATCGTCAATAATTATTCGCCGCCCGAACTGGTTTAAGCGTCACCGTTCGTGGTTATTTATACTATTATATTTATTATACCCTGCAACGAGGAAAATATTCTCTACTACGTTATAACATATACCATTATGGTATATGCATATTGATTGAGGTGGCTTACTGGTAATACGTGGGTAGAGAATATTCGTATAATAGCGAACTCGATATTAATATACAGGCGGATTGTTATTGAGTGGATATCATGTTTACTTCGATGAAAAGTTTAGGTATTCATTAGACATAGTTTGAGCAGAAAATCGCTCCAAATAATCTAAATCAAATAATAAATTACATTATTATTTATAGGTATGGTAGATGGTACCCTAAGACTTTAGGTTGTTTTCGTCAAAATCCGATTTGTTGTTTTGTTAACATTAAAAAACAAATAACCGCAGAGAATTAAAATTTACATGAAATATAAGCAATTGCTTAATTTTTTTTTTTTTTTTTGCTTATTAAGTATTTACTAGACATCATAAAGATAACATTTTCAAAATACTTCATCTTTACTGTCAGTATAATTATTTTATTTCTTAATTATTTAGTATACCAACGTGGATTAAATTTGATGGTCGAAGCTTAAATCCTGACATTAATAATCAGAGATGTAAAGAACGACGCAGCCTATCGTCTCCATTTTTAATTAAATAAGTTACACTTTCTTTTTTTTAGTGTCCCAAAAAATAATAAAATGACGCAAATTAATAATGATAAGATAACCTAACCCTATAACCTAACGCGTACTCCTACTAATTGAATTAAACTGGCTAAGAATAAAAAGAGCGACGTGGCCTTTTCTCGATATTTTGTATTATGGAAATGTATTTATATTTTGAAGTTTTTAATTTCTCGGTGAGAAATAATCTAACTACATTAGTGATGACAACAACTAGTGAAAAAATCTTATACTATATTATAATTGAATTAGGCAATTGGGAAACAACGAAGATTATTATTTTGGAAATTGTATTGGATTTCTTATCATCGTGTCCTGCAAAAATTAAAAATTATAAAAATTAAAAATCTTATAAAAAAAGTGCGAGGCATATTTAAAAAAAAATTATTTTTGAATGTAATTAGATGTTAAACGAATATATCCCAGCTGCCTCCGTGTACGCAATTACGCGCGTACGGTTAATAGCTGTATTTATTCACGCAAATAATAATGAAATGCAAATGGAAAATACTTATATAATTCCCACTATGCCAGGTTTAATAAGTAATAAACTAATAACATCATAATAGTTATTAAATCAAACGCAATTTCCAACCTCACAATATAACATAGTATTCCGAAAAATTCTAAAACTACGTAAAACGTACTTATTTATCGTGTGCGATTATAAAATGTGTATTTTTTAATAATTTATAATTTTGTGTTACCGACTCGAACAAAGTTTGCTAAAAATAGGTAGGTAGTTTATTATGCGCCCGACCTTGAGCGTCGTACAAGACTGTAATAATGGTGTATTAATTAACGATTATAATATTATGATGCACTAATGCTATCATTCAATCTGACAGTGACGCACGGGAATCGTTAATGTTTTGAAAACTTGTCATTTCACTTATAAATGAATAGTAAAGTTCTCTGATGCGAGTTTAGTGCTATTTAGTACCATCAATATTGGACGATAAAAATGTGTAAAATATCGTCATTTTGTATTTGCTGATTATTTTTATCCATTCGTACCTATATAAGTAGTTTATGCAATAATATATTATATTTCCGGTAATGGAAATCAGAAGATCACGTTTGAGGTAAAAATTTATGTCGATTCATTTATGTCCAGAACTATTATTACTACAGAGTCAAAATACCTTCAAATGTCTATAACTGTCTGGAATGTATTTCCTGTACAGAGCAAAATTTTGAGAATATGGCTACAGCTATATATACAACTGACAAAATCCCATCATTGGTACTTCAAATGTACATACTAAGGCTGGTTCTGACAATGTCCGGTTAAGTGTCGGTTAACGCTAACCGGCTGATAAACAGATCTTATTACCGGCAGAATTCCACCGGTTAAGTGTCCGTTCACTTTAACCGAACATTGTTAGAATGGACCTAAGTCCTACAGGCTTATACATTCCTACTTTTAATATTTTATAATATTCTTTACTTAAGAGTATTTGGGGGCATGGAGTGGTGTTGATTTTGAAATCGTATTTATACCATAATATATGTGTTGTGCACCGCGATGAGGAGTATTTTATAGTAAATTTATTTTAAATATCATAATTCTAAAGTATTCGGGATGTGGTATGCAAAGTATTAATGATCATGTCTGAACACATATTATATTTATATATTATATTACGAAAAATAAATCAGTATCAAACCTCGAATATTTGTTTGAATATTATTCACGCACACTTATAAATGTTAATTTCTGCTTATATTTACCGATTTAAATTTTAGACCGTAAAATATTCTTACTAAAGTACTTTATTAGGATAAATATTTTAAATTTTACAACCATTATAAATTTTAATCGTCGTCGATGAGGTTTACCTTTATACAATACAAATAGCTGCAGGTTAATCGGCCATATTATACATTCTCATTTGTTGTCCTGTCTTAAACTTGGAAATAAAATATAGTATTTTTATAAGTTGTAACTTATAAGTTATTTATAACATTTAACTAAAATTTAATCTGAGCGGTAATTATGTCCTTACCATTTGATAGTTTTTAAGAATTTTTAACAAATAATTCAATAATATGAAGTATTTTATGATACCAAATATATATTATTTTATTTAAAACTATTGTTAATTACTATAGTAATAATTTAGCCTAATCAATATAGATAAATACTGTTTGCACATGCATTATATTATTTTAATAATTAATCGATAGTTTTAAAAGTTTTATAATAATAAGTTTAATAATCACCAACTTGCACTCTCACAGGTAACGAAAATATTCAATATTAGTTTTTGAGATATGTATTTTAAACAATGATTTCATAATTTTATACCTATTTCGTTTGCTGTGCACAGTTTTTTTTTCGATCTCAGTTCACCCACCCATGTACACGTTAGTAGGTACTTGCAGCATAAGTTACCTAACGAAATAACTATGTACTTTACGGCGGCGTTGTCGTTGTACTCGTTGAGACTATTTTCAATTTTGTGGTGTTTATTCGCCATACAATTAATATCTGAAGTATAATACCATACAGGTTTTCTTATATCGATAAAAATTTCTTACAATTTTGCAGGAGCTACACATCGCTTTTTTATAACAATTTATTTCAGAACAAAAAGTTATTACATAATCGAACAAATACCTGATAATATAAAAAAACATGAAAGTTAATGATTTAATGATAATTTTGTTTTTATATTTTAGAATAATAATTTCAACGTTGTACGAGGAAGTAGGTATCAATGTTATATTCACCAGCTTTTTTATTTATAATATTACGATCAATTAACAAGAAGTCAAGACCTGTTATTTTATACATTTGTTATAATTGACAAAACATGTTAGTTGTTATTTAGTTTGAAAAAACTAGTATATTTCGTAGTCTGTACTGTCTGCAATTTAGAGTTAAAATGATAAAGTCACATTGATCTTGTTTTTTAGCAGTTAACTAAGTAGATTCTAAACGAAGCGATAAATGTATATCGATTTTACGACGACGACGATGATGATGATGATGATGATGATGTGTGTGTGTGTTTGGGTGTGTGTGTGTGTGTGTATTTTGTGCCCGTGTTCAAGTTTTAGTGAAAAAAATGCTTCGATCATCAACTTCGGTGGGGTTTTCTGCCTTTCTTGTGAATAATTGAATTTAGATGGTACTTACATGGGAGGGTAAAAGTAAATATTCTAAGCAGTTTTCAAAATATTTATGAAAAACAAAAAAATTATTTAAGAAAAAATAAATTTTTACACAAGACTAGTTATTGAGAAAACGATTATTTTTTTTTTGTTATTCTAAAATAAACAAATCTAGAGATTTTACAGTTTCATTAAATATACAATTTACTAGATCCGAAATATATTTGAAAATATTTTGGCTTTTTTTCGATTTAAGTATGAAAATCATCGACAATTTAGTACAAGGTTCCTCGGAGGTAAGTTTTTCTTGTTGGATAGCAGAGAACTTAATAAAAATCACTATTTATTTTATAGACATTAATTTAAGTTTAAATTTTGATAATTTATATCCTATAATATGATGGATTTGTATTAAAATGAATAATTAGATAGCGATTTTAGTTATTTTGTTATAATTCAAAAGTATTCGTTATGACTTGAAACTTTTACGGATATTATTATATTTTATAATTACCTATATTAGAATAATTTTAAGCTATAGCCAATTAGAAACAAGATTTAAATCAAGTGTATTAGATAAGTTTAAATAAATTTGTTGTATTTGGAACCTTATGCCAGGTTCAGTGATTTTTATTGTAATTTATATTTATCTCATCAAAATGTTCGCCTTTTTATATTATTAGTTATTACAGGTATTATACAGGTGACTTTTATTTGCAGTTTGTGTTATACTATCAATGTTCTTGGACTTGGAACTTAAGTTTATATTAAATATTAATATTTATATAATATGCGATGTAATAACGATAACGAAGGATTGACCGATAGACGGGCGGCTAGGTTAATTTAAGTTTCTAAGAGTAGCGATAAATGTATTGATTTTACAATATTATGTGTTTTTTTTTTATAGAAAAAATTCTCTGATCATCAGTTTTGAAGGAGCTGTCATGTTAAGATATTTTATAGAATGTAAAAATTTAAAATGTTTAGTACTTTTTAAAATAATCGGAAAAAAACAAAAAAAAATGAGTACAAACATGTGTTAAAATTTTAATAAAATTATTAATATAATGATTGTTAGGTAACCTTTCAAAAAGTTTGAAGGTTAAACATTTTAACTACTCGCTTAGATAGATTTATTTTTATTTTATTACTCCTGCAATTTTAGAAAATATTACAATCTATTATATCTTTCATATTAAAATAAAACTTTACAGACTTTCAGTCGTCTTGATAAACTACAGTGGTGTCTAAAATGTATGCACCGATTTTAAAAACATACAACTTGAAATTTAAATATTCTGTTGATTGGCTTTATTGTCAAAATGGCCAATGTCAAATCTTATTTGGCCATACTGCATCAGAGACTTTGGCGCCGTTTTAACACAAGTACAATAATCAAATTCGTCCAAAAGTGACAATGGCCTTTCTTGCACAGAGCCACAGTTTTATATTATGACGTTTGTAAGGCGTTTCTTGATCAATTTGTTTTTTAGCCTTCTAATGGAATTTTCTGGTATAGTTAAGGAGGAGATTAGGAAGATAAGAGGATTTTTGTGGTTAGTAAGTTGTTGTTGAATCTTGTATTAATTTGAAATTGTTTGGCTAGTGTAAATAATAGCGTAGGTATTCTAATTGAATCGACATGGGAATTTTTAGAACGTACACATTACTTGTTAATAAAAACAATCAAGTAAAACTACATTTTAACTACCTATGTTATAAAATATAATACGTGTGTGAGTGGGGACAGGTGGTATTGTCGAATATTCCAAAAATAAAGTGCACTACGTGACCTCGGAACTTAGTTGCGGTGGGTTATTCGTATTTATTATTTATTAAGAACATAATATGTTAAATTATAACAATATAGGTACTAACTTCTACTTCTACTTTCTATTGACTGTCTAGTCTTAATAGAAAGTCCATATTCATATAATATTATAACTTTATTTATTGTCTTAGAGTACTCGTAGAATATTACAATAAACAATGTTAAGGACGTTTAGGTGCGAAGTGTGATTTTGGCAGAGCATAATATAATACATCCAGTGGGTCCGTCATGTCACTTGCCTATAAAGGTAAAAGGTAATTACCCGCAATGTCAAATTAATTATCGTTTATCGCTATTATAATATTATTATAATATCATCGTAGTTGATATTTTATTCGGCTTTTAACACGTCGTCGTCGTCGTCGTCGTCGTAGTTTTACATGGCTGAGAGTTTAAAATAATTATTTATTAATTATTATTACTAGGCGCAATACTACGCGTTGTAATGATATTTCAACTTGTTAACGCGTTTGTTTGGGCGGCCGTGTTAATTCGAAAGAAAAAAAACACCTCGAGTCTCAGCAAAGGCCAAACGGGTCACAACCCACTCGGTCGTCGGTTTGTTCGCCGAGTATAATATTATGTTATCTGAGCACGTTATAACATTACAATATATTATACACGTAAACATCCGTTTTCTGTGCACAGCCATTCGTTTGCCTATATCACCTGTGCGTGTAATATAATCATAGTTTATAACATTTGTAAATTATCATTAACATTTATTAACTATAGTGTGTATAACCTCATTGACCAGATATCCCGTACAACTGTACATATATATATATATATATATATATACATCGATGCAATAATCATTTACTCATACCGGTAATAACTATAATAATAATGTTGTTTAAGCCGCATTGCACCGAGTCATGTTGGGTTTCTTACGTACAAAAAATTCATTAGATATTTAGGTAAGTAACGAACTGTTACCTATGCGAGTAAAATAATATAATATTCAACTCTACGCGACACAGAAACCTGGCTTAAATGTCGAGATCGATACTATTCATACACTTTTACTGAGTTTGATGAAAATCTTTTGAAAGACTTCATTTGATAAAATAATTTAACAAGTTGATTAACTAAGATAAAATGTACACTATTATCAGTTTGGTGTAGTAATCAGGGGAGAAAAGGGCCACAACCGAAAAGCCGTTGTGAGGGGGGGGGGGGGGG